CTGCTGTGCCCAGTAGTGCCTCCACTGGGATCTATGAGGCCCTGGAGCCCCGGGACAATGATAAGACCCAGTATCTGGGAAAAGGGGTCTCCAATGCTGTTGAGCACATCAATAAAACGATTGCGCCTGCCCTGGTTAGCAAGAAGCTGAACGTTACGGAATAGGAACAGATTGACAAGCTGATGATTGAGATGGATGGAACTGAGAATAAATCAAAATTTGGTGCAAATGCCATTCTGGGCATGGCCCTCGCTGTGTGCAAGGCCAGAGCTGTTGAGAAGGGAGTTCCCCTGAACTGTCACATTGCTGACTTGGCTGGCAATCCTGAAGTTATCCTGCCAGTTCCTGCTGTCAATGTGATCAACGGCAGCTCCCACACCGGCAACAAGCTGGTCATGCAGGAGTTCATGATTCTTCCTGCCAGAGCAACCCGCTTCAAGGAGGCCATGCGCATCGGGACTGAGGTGTACCACAACCTGAAGCACGCCATCAAGGAGAAGTACGACAAGGAGGCCACCCACGTCGGGGATGAAGGCGGATTTGCCCCCAGCATCTTGGAGAACAAAGAAGCCCTGGAGCTCCTGAAAAATGCTATTGGGAAAGCTGGTTACACCGACAAGGTGGTGATTGGCATGGACGTAGCTGCCTCCGAGTTCTTCAGGTCTGTAAAATACGATTTAGACTTCAAGTCACCTGATGACCCCAGCAGGTGCATCTCACCTGACCAACTGGCGGACCTGTACAAGTCCTTCATCACAGACTACCCAGTGGTGTCTATCAAAGACCTCTTCGACCAGGATGACTGGGACGCTTGGGCAAAGTTAACTGCCAGCTCAGGGATCCAGGTGGTAGGGGACGATCTCACAGTGACCAACCCGAAGCGAATCGCCAAGGCCATGGGCAAGAAGTTGTGCAACTGCCTCCCGCTCAAAGTGAACCAGATCGGCTCTGTGACCGAGTCTCTGCAGGTGTGCATGCTGGCCCAGTCCAATGGGTGGGGCCTCATCATGTGTCATCATTCTGGGGAGACCGAGGATACTTTCCTTGCTGACCTGGTGGTGGGACTCTGCACAGGGCAGATCAAGACTGGTGCGCCATGCAGATCTGAGCCCCTTGCCAAGTACAAGTACAACCAAATCCTCAGAATTGAAGAGGAGCTGGGCAGCAAGGCCAAGTTTACTGGCCAGAAGTTCAGAAATCCCCTCGCCAAATAAACTGGGCCGGCAGACCTCTGGTAGCCCCTCCCCCAAGCCTGTCGGCATTCTCACTGCTTCATTAGAGGTGCCCCTGAAGCCAAACCAGACCATCTGGACACCTGTTGAAAACCCCAGCTTTGTGAGCCTGTGACAGCCCAACTCCTCGCCCTTCTTGCGAGCTTCCCACCAAGTGCTCCAGTGTCATCCCGAGGTGTCAACAGGCAACATCCCCAGTGGTTCTGTTTGCAAAATAAACATCAGTGACCCCTAAAAAAAAAAAAGAAAGAAAATAGCATCATCTTGCTGCAATACTACTTCTTGAATTACAGAGTGAAGTTAAGCCCTTTGGCAAGTGTTTACCTCTTTGTCTCTGTTATTCATGTTGTTTAACATGAGCCTGCAATATGTATTCCTAGAGTTTAATATTGACTTATTAGACTTAATTTCACTCTATCTTAAAACCAGCCCTGGGTTCAGGAAAAAGTTAAGCACTCAATCATTAGCCAAAAGTTTGGTGGCTCAAATCCATCCAGATGCACCTTTGAAGACAGACTTGGCCATTTCCTTCTGAAAAGTCACAGCCTTGGGAGTACTACGGAACAGTCTCCTCTACACTCCAGGTGTCAACCTGAGTCAGAATCAGCTCTATGGAAACTAACAGCAACCCTGAAGCCAACTCCTTCCCTGAGACGTTGATAAATGACTACCTTGAAATTCCACCAAAGACCATGGTGGAAATTCCACCAAAGACCAAACTCCTTGATGATGAGTATTTTGCCCAAATCATTATTTGTAAGCAGTGTCACAGTGCTGTACAATCAGAGACTGGTTTTCTTCTTTGTCGACAGTACTGTTAAGTGCTTTTGAGTTGGTTCGATGCCATCCTCGTCGTTGTTCTTATGTCATGAGCACATTGTTGCAACCACTGTGTCAAACCTCCTTGTCAAGGCTCCTCTTCTTTTTTACTGACTCTCTACTTCACCAAGCATGATGTCCTTCTCCAGGGATTGGTCTTGCCTAATAGCATGTCCAAAGTACATGAGACAAAGTCTTTACAACCTAAGGAGCATTCTGACCCTACTTCTTCCAGTACGTATTTGTTCATACTTCTTGGTAGTCCTTGGTATATCCAACATGCTTCATTAGCACCGTAGTGCAAAGGCATCAAGTACACTGGCTTCCATCAAGTACACTCTAGTTTCCTAAGTGACATCTTTGCGTTGAAACACTTCACAGTGATCATTTACAATAGCTTTGCCCAACCTACTATGGGAAATCACTTGATTTCTTGACCACTGCTTCCATGAACATGAATTGTGGATGAAAGCAAAATATACCCCTGGACAAGTTCAATATGTGGTCCATTCATCATATTTCTTCTTATTTGTACTAACCCATACTGAAGGCTGCAGTCTGATCTTCTGCAGCAAATGCTTCAAGTCCTCTTCACTTTCATTAGCAAGGCTGTGTTATGTGCATACAGAAGGTTGTTCCTTCAAACTTGATTCTGTATTCTTCCTAGAGTCCAACTTCCTTTATTTGATCAGTATACAGATTGAATAAATACAGAGAAAGGATACAACAACGACACGCACCTTTCTTGAGTTTATACCTCATAGTATCCCCCTTGTTCAGTTCAAATGACTGCCTCTCCTCTATATCTAGGTTCTGCCTGAAACAATGACATCTGCTATGAGCACCATGAAGTGTTCTGAAATTTCCATTCTTGTCAAGGCAACCCACAGTTTATTATTGTCCACACAGTCTGATACATTTGCATAGTTAATGAAACACAAGTACCTATTTTTTCTGGAGTTCCTTGCTTTCAGCCAAAATCAATCTGACCTCAGCCATATTCCTTGCTTCAAGTCTTCTGATTCTGTCCTGAATTTCTGGCAGTTCCCTGTCAGTGTGCTGCTGCAAGTGTGGTTGAATGCAACTTGAGCAACATTTTACTTGCCTGTGATATCAGTGGTATTTTTCTACAATTTGTGGATTCTATTGGCTCACCTTTCCTTCTCTGACACACTTCCATCGAGCCCTCATATCAATCCTCTGTGGGTTTCTGAGTCTGTAACTGTTTATGTGAGTAGAAAACTCAGTCATTCTCCCAAGGAGCTGCTGGTGGCTTTGAACTGTTGTCCTTGCAGATTGAAGCCAATGTGTAACTACTAAATCACCAGGGATCCTTCACTTTCTTTAGAATGAGCAGGTGTCTTTCGCATCTCTTGGTGTAGAAGAGTGAGCGCTTCCGGTGCTTCATCAGCTTTTTGACACATTGTAATTGGCATGCCATCAGTTCCTAGGACCTTGTTTTTAGATAAAGATATAGCTCATACTTATTCCATCTGTATTCTGAGCAAATAATCAGAGGCTATACGATTATATGCAGAAGAATGTGGCATCAGAAATGGAGAAGGCCTTGTTAACAACCTGCAATATGCAGATAGTATAGCTTTGCTTGCTCAAAGTGAGAACATGAACTTGTAGATGGAGATGAAGGATTGCAATCTTTAGTATGCATTACAACCCAATGTAAAGTTAACTAAGATCCTTACAATTGGATCAATTGTCAGCTTCCTAGTAAATGGAGAAAAGTTGACATTATCAAAAATATTGTCTTGTTTACATCTGCAATGAATGCTCATGGAAGCAGCAATCAAGAGATCAAACAACGCAAAGCATTGGGTAAATCTGCTGCACAAGACTTTTGTAAAGAGTTAGAAAGGAAAGTTGTGAAACTGAGGACTAAGGTGTACCTAGACCAAACCATGGTACGTTTCATTGTGTTTCCCGTACTGATCAAGGCCTCCAGACTGATTGGATGTATAGCATCATTCCCAAAAAATGTCCCCAAAGCCTGCATCATCCGCATCTGCTGGGAACTTGATAGAAATGCAATTGATCAGAACATTCCCCAGTTCTAAGGAGTCAGAAACTCTGTGAGTGGGACTGGGACCAGCAACGTGCTCTAATAAACTTTCTAGGTCATTCTAATATAGGTTTGTGTTTGAGACCTGCAGAATATAGAGGAAAGTTATATTCCATGTTCTCCTTCATCTGGTAGTCTCTACTCACATCTCCTCTCTCAGAAGATAGTAGAGGCCAATGGGGTGCCACAGAAAGTAGTCAGAGGTAATCCGAGTGCCTTTTGATAACTCTGATGTCATGACAAACTGTCAAGGCAAGAAACCTAGAGCAAATTTTATGAGGGTGCTTCAAATAGTTTGGGAGGGAACCCCCATTTTTTTAATTCCACTTTTCTATGAACTTTTTGAAACCCCTTTACATTTTCAGCCAAACTCTTCAAAGTTTAGCTGTGACTTTAACTACAAAATACCTATTTAAGAAAGAAGTGTGTATTTACACACACGTGCACACGGCTGGGTCCATCAGTGAAACCACCACCTGTGGGGCAGAGCTGTCCAAGGGCAGTGATAAATTTGCCTCCATTAAGTTGGCTCACTGTGTTGCAACTATATGTTGGACCTCCCCTTATCGCGGTGTGGTGTCCATTTGCACCCCGAGGTTTTCCAGTGACTGAAAAGTGAGCGCCGCAGCTTGGCAGCCTGTGCTGCAGCACAACCATTTATTTTGTGCAGCTCTCCATCCTGTATGGTCCCATTGAGCACAAAGCCTTTGAAGTCCATGGTGCATATCATCCAGCTGACAGTGGGCAGGATTGGAGGCCACCTCACTAAAGCCCAAGCCCAAGCAGCCATCCAAATATCTCCCCCGAAATGGAAGCTCTATTCTTCAACTGAGCTATGCTTTATCAATAAGATGTTTTCTTGCTTACATCGTTTATCGATCTTTGCAGTGATGAATTTTTCTTTTCTTTTGAAAATTTTTCTTTTCTTTCTATCTAAAAAGTTCGTCTGCTCTAACAAGTTCTTGAACTTTCTCTCAGTTTCTTGTTTACCAGTGTGCTCGGGAATGAAACGAGGGGATAGTTTAAAGAATTTCTCAGACTTTCTAACCTCTGAGGACTGCTTTGTGTCCCCTGTGTCTTTCCATCTAATTTGTGTAAATCCGTTTTAAATTGGCATTCGTTTACTTAATGTGTGATGTCGACAATGACTTCATTGCAGAAGACAAGGAGTGTTTCCAGGAGAGGTGCTCATCCTCGCATGGGCCTGGGAGAAGAAAGATGAGCGGGGCAAGTATTTGCAAACTATGACACCGAAAGCTGTTGATCTCAGTCCCAAAACTGACTTGGAAGAAAGGTCTGGCGAGCTGTCTCTGCAAATGCAATGACTAAAACCTCGATGGAGCACACTTCTATTTGGACACAGCTGGGGCAGCTCTGCCTCCTAGCTGGCTTGACTGCAATGGGTTTTTTAATGTGCCAAGAAGTGAAATACTTACAAGAATAATCACTCGCTCCCTGCCCCCACACAAACTCCAAGTTCAGATTTGAAGCCTACTGCCTACATTTCTATTTTTAACTTCACTTTGCACTATAAGTAAACCTGCTTAAGAAACACCTGGGGTAATTTAATAATAAAAGCAGGACATAGAGGATGCTAGCAGTTGGCACTAGGGCATAAAAACACAGAGAATATAAAATGTAATAGTGATTGCAAAATGTAATACAATTGCTTGAAAATACAATTAAATCAGGTTGGATAAATAGCTTCCAGGATATAATAGGAAGAGGAGAGAGTTCATTTCAATGAAGTGAAAACGGAGAGAGTAGTGGAAAACCTGAATAAATAATTTAAAGCTGGAAATGAAAAAAGTTCCTGGTGGAGTGTGAGGAGACAATTGAGCTCATCTGACCTCCTGCAAGTCCATGAACCTCCTGGGGCTTCCCTTTCCTTATTTGGGAAAGGAGGGACTGGATCTCAAAGGTCTATTCAAGTTCTAAATTCCCCTCCTGGGGACCAGGAGGGAATGAAAATGTAGGGCATCAACACAACAACATTAGTGGCTCTGGGAAAAAAAATTGCACTTACACAAACTGTGAATTGGGTTTTCTATGAAGCATTGATTTTATCTGCTGGGATCCTTTGTTA